AATGGACACAGAACATTTAGGTTCTGGATTTTGAATAAATATGGTGTCCAGTACATTAAGGTGTACCGCGCCCAGGACTAACTTTTGTATAATCTTGAGAATCAGGTCAGGACTTTGTTATGGAGTTATATTACTGGCATGACATTGGTCCGAAGTTGAAATGGCTTTGCTGCTGAATGAGGAGTGTAAATATATTCAAAACATTCTGTTCAGATTTTTAAAAAATTTCTTTTTACTTGACTATCTTTGGCTTTTTACTTCTTAAAGTTACTCAATTTCTCTCACCTCAGTTCCTTTCGTTGAAGCATCCGAGTCATTGGCCCAAATATTCTAATTCTATTTCTGTCACTGACTCAATCAAAAGCTTGTGCTGAAGATTCCTGTACAGGGTGTTCCTGTGATGAACTTGTCCAGTAATCTACAAATCAAGCACTGAAGAAAATCACCACCATTTTTGCAGCAGTCGGCATGCTGTATTCTGAGATTTAAAGGTCCAGCAGTATAGAAGACATTTTGACAATTCCTATGAAAGGGTCAGTATATGAAGCAAGTATGGTGTTAGGATGACAGTTAGAACCAGGTATTTCAGGGCTACGATTAGCATGTCAAAAATTGTTTGAGCTGGGCCAAACCTTTCTGGTATAATGCTTCGGAGAGTGGCACCGGTCTCTTGAGGATGGCACACAGTTGCAACTGGTTAAAGGTGACAGTACCGATTGTGAAAACTTTTTTTTCCCCTCACATTCCTTCATTTTCACATCACTTTAAATCTATTCCCTCTCATTCTTTTTTCTTTAGTGAGAGTAAACAGCTCCACCCCTGCTGCAGACCTAGACAGCCCTCTAACCCTATCTCCCCAGGGCCTGAACTGACCTTCCTCTTCAGGACTCAACCAACCTACATCACTGAACCTGACACACCACCCCAACTAATCTGTTCTGTAAACCCTCTCACATACTTGGCATGCCATCAATACCCACTCACATGGCACATTAACCTCTCATCCACCTGGCACCCTAGCCCCTAATTCACTTGACCCCATGATTCCTTCCCCTACCTCAATCACTTCCCAACCTCTGTCATTACTTATCATTCAAACTTTTAATGTAGCTTTTAAAGTGTCTGAATATTTAAACTTTACAATACAGTACACAATGCAATGAATACACATTTCAGCAATGTCCTTCTGTGCTGCAGGATTACAGAGTTCTTGAACAGATATGTAACAGGAGGTCCTTGTTCAGAAATCTTCAGCGCATAAGTCATCAAAAGATAAATGGGTAAATTTTTAAATCTGATCAGATTCATAAACAGTGTCCAAACCTATTCAGGGCTTTTGGGTGCAAGAGTAGGAATAATGGGTAAGCACTAATTGGAAGGATGTGAAATCTCGCAAAGATCTCTGCTGGGATCTCAACTTTTTTTGGGGGGTTGGCTGGTCTATCTGGGGCTAGCAACAGCAGTAGCCAGAACAGTGACACCAAAGCTGCCTCATGCCCAGCAGAGTGTCAAAAGTGCAGGCGAGTATTTGTAGTTGGGGACTCTATAGTCAGGGGCGCAGATACGTTGTTCTGTGGCTGCAATTGAGACTCAAGGATGGAGTGTTGCTTCCCTAGTGCCAGGGTCCAGGATGGCTCTGAAAAGGACATTCTGAAGCGGGAAGGTGAACAGACAGAGGTCGTGGCTAGCAACATAGGCAGGATGGATGTCGAGGTCCTGCAAAAGGAATTTAGGGAGTTAGGGGGAAAGTTAAAAAGCAGTACCCCAAGGGTCTAATTCCTAGGATTACTCCCTGTGCCACGCACTAGTGAGGCCACACATAGGAAGATGGTAGAGCTGAATATGTGGCTAAAGAGCTGGTATAGAGGGGAGGGATTCAGATATCTGGATCATTGGGATCCCATCCAGATGGGACCTGTACGAAAAAGATGACTGCACCTAAACTAGAGGGGCATCAATATCTTTGCAGGGAATTTTGCTAATGTCGCTTGGGATGGTTTAAACTAGTATGGCCAGGGGCTGCAGTTTAATTAACAAGGTGGGACTATAAAAAGTGTTTTGAATAAGACAGGAAGGAGAAATAATAAAAGGATGCCTAAGAACAGGATAGAGAGTACAGCTAAAATTAGAATTCCTTATACAAATACACGGAGTGTAAGGAACAAAATAAATGAGTTGCAGGCACAGATTCAACTTGAAAACTATGATCTAGTAGCCATTATAGGGACATGGCTGCAGGACGGTCAGGACTGAGAACTAAACATATCAGGTTATAAGGTCTACAGCAGAAAATTACCTATGCTTTTTGATGGATAAGAGAATGGACTAAACTATAGGAAACAGATTTTGATATAACCAAATGTGAGGTCATCCACTTAAGACCTAAAAAATATAGAACAGAGTACTTTCTAAATGATGATACACTAGAAACTGTAGATGAATGAAAAGTCTTGGTGGTCCAGATACACAGATCTTTGAATGTATAGATACAGAAAATAACTAAAAAGCTAATGAAATGCTGACTTTTACATACAGAAGAATAGATTGCCAGAGTTGAAAGTCATGCTGTAGCCATTCAAAATTTGTAGTATATTGATTTGATTTATTTATTGTCACATGTATCTCGTTACAAAATACAGTGAAAAGTGTTGAATAGTGTCGCCACTCTCCGGCGCCATCTTAAAACAGAAAAATAAGCCAAAAACAGAATATAAAAGGCAAAAAATGAAGAAATAAAGTGTCCAACCTTATAGGCCTTCATGTTAAGTGCTCTATTACGCGCCATGGGCTTAGTGGCCAGGCACAAGTCGCCTTCACTGTGCAGCTGAAATGAAAGTTGCCACTCTTCCGCACCATATCGCCTCCATGGACATCCTTGCCATTATGAGTCCTTGATGGACCTCACCAATGCAGATGTCGTTGCTGCCGCAGGTACCACACCAGCCCAAACTTGACTCTGCCGCCTCCATGAGTCTGCTTCAGGTCCACCTCATCAATGTAGCCGCTGCTGATGCATGGGGTCTTGTATGGGGCCCAAACATGCCTCCACTGCCTCCTCCTTGAAGCTGCACTGGAAGCAGACATTATCGGGAACCCTAACGCAGCAGCAGCCATGAGTCGGCGCTAGCACCAGCTCGACGATGCAGAGGCCGCCAGGAACCCAAACTTGCCTCCGATGCTGCTGCCACAGAAGAAAGGGATATTCAAAAGAAGATTCATTCTAAATTAGTTGAGTGAGTTAAGTTACTATACAGTACAAGGAAATCGTTTGAAATTATTTAAGTTAAGGAGATGGGACCTCATAGGATATTCCCAAGGATCCTAACAAAAGTGCGAAATTATAGAACTGCTACAGCATGGAAGCAGGCCATTTGGCCCATCAGGTCCACACCAACCTACCCAAACTCATTCCCTTACCTAATCCCTGTATTTCCCATGGTTAATCCACCTAGCCTGCACATCCCTGGACAGTATGGGGCAATTCAGCATGGTCAATTCACCTAACCTGCACATGTTTGGACTGTGGGAGGAAGCCGGAATACCCAGAGGAAACCCATGTGGGCACGAGAAGAACGTGCAAACTCCACACAGACAGTTGCCTGAGACTGGAATCAAACCTCCGTCCTTGGCACTGTGAACAAGGTCAGAAATCACACGACACTTAGTTATAGTCCAACAGGTTTATTTGAAAACACAAGCTTTTGAAGTGTAACCTCCAAGCCCTGGTGCTATGAGGCAGCAATGCTAACCACTGAGCCACCATGCCACTTTGGAGAACAAAGAAAAAAAAATCAATCAATACATTTTTAACAGTTATCTAGGTTTGAAATCTCTACCGTCCTTTATGTTTAAAAGTGCTTCCAAGTTTCATTCCCAAGTGGCCTGGCTCAGTTTCTTTAGACAATGATAATTGGTCTTTCATTAATGGAAATTGCTTCATGCAAGCTCCTCTTCTCTGTTCCCCATAATATATTCAAAACTTCAATCAAATAACCCTGTAAACCTTCTAAAATTCAGGCAGTACACTTCTAGCTTAATCCTGAGAGACCAAGTATCATTCTAATAATTCTACGCTACATGCTCTAAGGCTAATAGATCTTCCTGAAATGTTTTGTCAAAACTGCTGTGATAGATCACATTTGGAATCCTTAATGTATTTCATCTCCCTTTTAACCAATTCATGAATCAACTCTTCCTAAGATTTTTTTTCATAAACAGTGAAGCAAAGTATTTGCTGTAGTCAATTACAATTACCAATTTCTGATGATCACATAACCGTTCTCCTCTACCACTTGCTCCACTCCTGGACTTTCCACATTTAACTATTTTTTTAAAAACCTGACACATTTATTTCATTTCTTTAGGATAATGCTCTTGATTCTCATCATACTCCTCTTTGCTATGCATGTCCTGGTCTTAAAATCCCATTGCTGATCAATTGTCCTTGTGTGCTAATTTCTCATTTCATTTGCTTCAGTTCATTCATTTTCTAAAATCTAGTGGCTTTTGTTTTCATAATAACTTATTTACCACTTTTCTACTGCGTCCTTAACCAAATCATATTATGGTCACCTCAATTAACTCATCTACTCAATCCAATTAATGAATCAAAAATGTTCATAATATTGAGGCTCTCTGAATACTCCCAACAAAGCATCTGCAATTGATTTTTTAAAAAACACTGGCACTTTTAACTAGGCTACTCTATATGGCAGCTTATTCAAAATGCATTATTTGTGAAAAGCAATTTTGAAACCATTTATCATGAGAAACTTCTCTTATAAGAACATGCTTTATTCTAGCGTCAATGCTGTCTGCTGGTTGTTCCTTCATTTAATTTTAATGATGTTTAAATATTTCAACTGGGCCCTTCCCTCTCAAATTACCACTTTCTTCACAGGATGTAAAATTAAATTTTCTTTCATCATTCATCGTAGCCTATTCCTTTCATATTTGGTAATATTTGTCCTTCCCTGTGTCCCTTCTCAACCCAGACTTACCTAAACTCTTTGTCTCCTTCTTGACTGCTTTTGTTTAATCACTTGAATTTTTCTGCTTGTTTCTGTTCTTTAATTCGTTTCCTTCTTTGTTGTTTTCTTTCTTGTGTTCTATAGGCACTGATTTCCCTGCAAATTAAGAGTCAGGTGATCTGCAGATTCTGAATGTTGTGGTTTTCTTCTGTCTGCTTTGTATCCTGATGTGCAAGCTGACAACCATACCCTACGTTTTTTTTTTCAGTTTAACCCAGGAAGTGATTTGTTCCTTCATTAGCCCTTCCTTCTGCTGCCTGACTTCTGCAGGGTCTGAGAGCCTGTCTATAAAAGTGTAAGTTAATCCAGCTTTCCACCTTGCTATAGTATGTAGTCACTTTATACTTCATTTAAACATGTCTCTCCATATTTTAACCTCCTCATGTTTCCTGTTTTCCATATCGGTTGTCAAGGAATTAAAGTTGTTAGGAATTAAAAATTAATCTTCTCAAAACTGCCACAAGCAGAGAAATAAGGTAAAAGATCATTGAAAATTACTGTGTATCTTAACTACTTTAGTTTATTTGTTATAATATTGTTGAATACGAGGATAAAAGTTATTTGACCAACAACTAAAAACTATTGCATACAAAACGTCGGGTTGCTTTTGTGGGTTATTAAGCAGATTTACTGTGAAGTTGGGCATGTTGGGAGTGCAATTTCAAAAAAGAAAAGGACGGGGCACTTGGAGGAAGAAAGACAGGTGGTGAAGCACTCGGGAAAAATAATTTCAGCCAGACAAGTCAACATTCTACCTGTCTCGATAGCTAATATCCCTATAAGTTCCAGTTGAAAGTACAGCTTGAAGCCACATCTTAGCATGAGTAATAGGGCAGGCCTCAGGTACTTCTTTAGATATAAACTAAAGGATAAACTGAAGGATAAAACAGGAAAGCATAGGAACAACACTAAGCCATTCAGCCCATCCAGTTTGCCCTGCCATTCAACGGCTGATTGAACACTTCAGTGCATTTTGCCTACCAATTTCCAAAACCCTGTATGCCACTGGTAATCAGAAGTTTATTGAATCCCTACCTTAAACAAACTCAAGCAGTGAGTTTTAATAGCTCTCTGTGGTTAGAGAATTACAAAGGTTCACAAACCTCCAAGTAAAAACATTTATTCTTTTCTAAGTTTCAATGAGATCACTTCTCATTCTTCAAACTCTAGAGTATACCGATCTAGTTTGTTCAATCTCTTCTCATTGAGCAATCCTGCCATCCTGGGACCAAGTCTGGTGAACCTTCGTTGCATTCTCTCATTAGCAATAATCTTCTTGCAATAAAAACTAACATTCCAATAGGCTTTCTGGATCTGTATGTTAGCTTTCAGTGATTTTGAGAAGCATACCTAGGGCCCTTTGAACATCTACACTTTTCAGCCTCGCACCATTTAAGAAATAAATCTGTACATCTGTTTAAAAAAAAAAGATTGGGCATGGATAGATATACAAAGTTCTTGGTGCACATGCAGTAGCTATGCTGAAATTAAAACAAAGTCAGCACTATTCAGTCATATTCCACTATTTACAAACTGCACTAAAAGAAAAATGCACTATTAGAACATCCTTTAAATGTGGGATACCAGCACATTGATGGTTAGGGAAAGATGGAGGGTTTCAAACATAGAATATTAGATAGGATGGACATGGATTTGAGGACAACAACATTTTCAAGCTCATTGAAAAGACATGGGAATTTGGAGAATCTGGAAATTTGCAAGGACATAGGATCACAGAATCCCTACAGTGCATTTGGAGGCCATTCAGCCCATCAAGTCTGCACTGACCCTCTGAAGAAAGCCCCTCAGACCCAGTCCCTCACACTATCCCCATAACCCCACGTTTACCATGGCAAACCCACCTCACCTGCACAGCTTTGGACCGAGATTAAACCGGAGCACCTGGAGGAAACCCATGAGACATGCAGAGAACATGCAAACTCCACACAGACACAGACAGTCACTAAAGGCTGGAATCGAATCCAGGCCCCCAGTACTGTGGGGCAGCAGTGCTAACCACTAAGCCACCGTACAGGGTTCATTTTTTGTGGTTGGCACAGTGGCTAACACTGCTGCCTCGGGGCTCGAAAGTGAGACAAGAGTAGATTTGGCAGTATACACTTCATGGGCCAATCTAATTTCAGAGTTGGGTTGGAGACCCAAAGTATGGTAAGGTTTAAAGATCAGAAAAGCCAGAGCAAGTTCGAAAAGCATGGGTTTATGCATGCATGAAGTTTAAAGATCAGAGGACCAGAATCAGATTGAGGAACTGAAGAGCACACATGCACCAAAGTTCGGGAGTCTTTAAAGCAAAAATGACAATTTATAAAAATAGATGAGGAACGAAATAAAGAATAAAAAGTATTTAAATTTCAAACTGGCAGAATTTGATAGTGTTTTGTAAGCAGAACACAAAGCATTTTTACCACTCATAGATGACCAATGAAAGTTACACTGTTCAACTAATCTAGATATTTCATCATACATTGTGCAGCAGAGCTTGAAAGTAAATTACTTACTAACTGTCAGCAAGATAAAAAGATTCAACTAAAACACAAAGTTCCTTGCTTAAAAAAAAATTCCAAAGACAGCAGTGTCCAGATCAGGAGGTTCCTAAGCATACAAGTTAGAAACGAAGATTGCGAGAGCGCGAAAGAGCGCGAGAGAGCAGAGAGAAAAACTTGTTTCTATATTTCATTGGGGTAATTAATCTTTTCTGTTTGAATGGGAGTTTACTCCTGAATTGAATATTAACCCTCTGTGGTCTGGTCTTATATAAATTTTATTCCTTGGTTGTTAAATGGTGTCTTGCATGTCATATAGTCATAGAACTGTACAGCATGAAAACAAACCCTTCGATCCTAAATTGAACTAGTCCCATCTGCCAGCATTTGACCCATATTCCTCTAAACCCTTCCTATTCATATACTCATCCAGATGCCTTTTAAACGCTGTAATTGTAGTAGCCTCCACCACTTCCTCTGGCAGCTCATTCTACACAAGCACCACCCTCTGTGAAAAAGTAGCCCCTTAGGTCCTTTTTAAATCTTTCCCTTCTCACCTTAAACCTATGCCCTCTAGTTTTGAACTCCCCCACCCTGGAGAAAAGACCTTGCCAATTCACCCTATCCATGCCCCTCATAATTTTAGAAACCTCTATAAAGGTCGCTGCCAAGCCTCCGACACTCCAGAGAAAATAGTCCCAGCCTATTCAGCCTCTCACTGTAGCTCAAATCCTCCAGCCCTGAGTCCCACAACATTCTTCCTATAGCAGGGAGACCAGAATTGAACACTATTTGAAAAGTGGCCTAACCAATGTCCTGTGCAGCATCAACATGACCTCGCAACTCCTATACTCAATGCACTGATCAATAAAGGCAAACATACCAAACGCTGCCTTCACTATCCTGACTACCTGTGACTCCACTTTCAAGCAACTATGAACCTGCACTCCAAGGTCTTTTTGTTCAGCAATGCTCCCCAGGACCTTACCATTAAGTGTACAAGTCCTGCCGTGATTTGCCTTTCTAAAATGCAGGGCCTCACATTTATCTAAATAAAACTCTATCCGCCACTCTTGGCCCATTAGCCCATCTGATCAAGATCCTGTTGTACTCTGAGGTAACCTTCTTTGCTGTCCACTACACCACCAATTTTGGTGTCATCTGCAAACTTACTAACCATACTTCCTACGTTCACATCCAAATTATTCATATCTTTCTGTTATGGATGAGATTATAAACATTTAAATTTCAGTGTGTCTTTCCCTTCCCCTTTGAGCTCGAGATCTGGGAATAAGTTTTGCATTTTAGGCTTATAATTTATAGGAGTTCATATTTTGAATGTGCAAGTAAATATGAAGGAGGATGCTACTATGTTGTGTGCCTGTGTCAGTTTGAAAGCGTGTAAATTTGTCTATCTGGGAAAAGTATTTGGTGTTGAGATTTTATCGTGTTATGATGGCTGGCCCAAATAAGGAAGATAGTTGCAGAGGAATGCAAATTGATTAAAGGCCTCTGTGGTTGCAGTGTTGTGTCCCTTTAAATGAGCTATCTGGTCATGAAAACAAAACTATAATGAAATTTTTATTTTAAATTAGAATGTTCAAAGTTTCTGTGAGAATTTACTGCAGTTTGATTATAGTCCTATAAAAGCTAATTAAAAGAAAGAAGAACCAAGAAAACATACATAATTTATTCCTTTTCTTAAAACACTACAATTTGTTTTGTATTTAGTTTAAGGAATTTCATTTTCTAGCCACAGTGAACTTCCAAATATTATTTTAACATACAAGTGAATCTTTAACACTGGAATAAGAAGATTTACTCATGTTAAATGTGTATTTAATGTGAACTAATTCTTTCAAGAAAATAAGGAAACATTGGAGGAGTAATTTCATTTGAACAAAACACAAAACAAAAAACACAAAACAAAGATAACAAGGTGCAGAGCTGGATGAACACAGCAGGCCAAGCAGCATCAGAGGAGCAGGAAGGCTGACGTTTCGGGTCTGGACCCTTCTTCAGAAAAACAATCTAAGGCATGTTCTGAAATCTGAGAAAGCCGATTTCAAAGAGTTTGAAACTAAAAGTATAAACTACAAGGTTGTAGGTTTGTCCTTTGTTCTAAAAATACTACAAAAAGGTGGCTTTTGTCTCTGTATGGAAGGACTTTATGACTTTTGCACCAATTCTTTTTGTGAACTCAAAGCTCTGAGAATTTATAATATTCAATATTTTGGGTTTGTGAATTGTCAGATGTTTGTATTAACTACCCAATTCTTCCTGAAGCATGATGGATGGATTTTGATATTTTTCAGACATGGCAAGGCAACTTCAAGAACTCGTGAATCTGTCTGCAGACTTCACGTTCGCAAGACTGAAAACATTGTAGCTCTTGAAAAGGAATCATCCGTAACTCACCCAAGCCATTCTCTAACAGTGGGCTGGTGAACACGAAACATATTGAGTATCAGGCATTTCAAAATAAAAACCGAAATAACTGAATGCTGCAAATCAGAAACAAAACAGAAGTTACTGGAAAAACTCAGCAGGTCTAGCAGCATCTGCGAAGAAAAATCAGTTAAGGTTTCGGGGCCGGTGACCCTTCCTTCTTTTTCAGAAAGAAGCGTCTAGGCCTGAAACTTCAGCCTTTCTGCTCCTATGCTGCTGCTTGGCCTGCTGT